AAACCCACAAAAAAAAAAAAAAAAAAAAAAGAGGTTTGGGAGTCACGGATAAGGTTACTCAGTTACTAAGGACAGCATGAAAGTAGGGTGTGCCTGGCCGACTCAATGGCCTAGCAGTAGTATGCTGCTCAAAGAAAGCCAGCTTCCCACATTGTAGCAGTAGTTCGATCTCTGGCTCAGTCAGCCTGAGATATGCCAGACATTCACGCACACAAATGCCCAAGATTCAGTTGGCTAGAGAAGTAAAGGAAGGGGATCATGGCATGACCAGACATGTGGTTGTGTTCATATCTTTCTCATTCTCTCTCTCACATGTGAGTGTCACACTATCATGAATAAAGAAAAAAATTATGTAAGTAGTATGATCCTGAGAGGTGGGGGAAAAGTAAGGCCAGCAGGTGCAGTGGTGGTCAAGGCACTGGACCCCTCATGGTTGACTGTGTTGGAGTCCCAGACCTGGCAACTTGAAACTCATGCCAGGAGCATGTGCATGCGTGTCCAACATTCCAGGAGGAGAATGAAGGAGAAAGGGTTGTGACGTGGCCATCCTCCCTGGGGGGTAATTTCTCACTTTCTGTGTCTCTGGTTTTTTAGGCAAGTGTAAGTACCCTATAGCCAAAGAAAGAAAGAAAGAAAAAAAGAAAGAGAGAGAGAGAGAGAAAGAAAGAAAGAAAGAAAAAGAAAAAGAAAAAAAAAAACTCTCAAAAAAAAAAAGTGATGAGGAAGGAGATTCTGAAGATTCTGCCTCACTAAAAGTAAACTTTTATTTAGGGCCAGTCCTACCAGAACAAACTTTAAGTTTCTAAGTTACTCGTATTTTCTTTTGAGATTATTCCACTTATTTGGAGAAACCAGAGATAATTTTGAGTTAATAAGCAAACACTAGTGGAAGAATTATAAGAGAAATTTTTAATTGTTTTTCTAACACCTTGTTGAGGTACCTCACAGGAATGGGAATTTTGATTGGCAATTATTAGAAGAGAAGAAGTGAGTTTTCTTTAAGGTTTGTTTTTGTTTTTGTTTTTGTTTTTGCCATAGGGTATGTGTGCTGGCCAGAGAGACAGAGAAAGAGGGAAAGTGAGAAATCAGCCCTCGGGATAGGGGAGGCAGGGGTGGATAACCACACCTCAATCCCTTCTTCATTTTCCTCTCAGGATTTTGGGCACACATGCACGTGTGTCCAGCTTGTTTTCCAAGCCACAGGCTCCAGGGTTCAAACCACACGGTCAGCCCTGTGAGATTCAGCTATCTTAATCATCATGCTACCTGGCTGGCCCCAGGGACCTTGAGTTTCAAAAAATTCACTTATTTTATCTTTTGAATTTATGTATGATATAAAGAGAGGTCAATGTATCTCGGTATCTGGTGTGTTTCTCATACCACTGAGGACAGGACTCAAACCATGGGGTTAGCCTTATAGGACCTGGTTCCTTTAACCACAGAACTGGCCCGTTATGACCTTTTATAAGCAACCAAACTCATTAGCATATTATTTAGGATTTCTTATAGTGTAATATAGTTCACTCGTTTAGCCATATTCCCCCTCGTTGCAATATAAATCTTACATGTAAATCTTTTTCAACTATCCATGCGACGTGATCCTTCTTTTTTGTTGTTGTTGTTGCCAGAGAGCACATGCACTTGCCAGACAGACAGAAAGGGAGGAGAAAGCACCCCCAATAAAGCATGGTCATATCACAATCCCTTCTCGATTTCTCCATCCCTGGAATTTTGAGCACATGCACACACACATACACACACCCAGGATGTGTTTCAAGATGCCAGGACTGAGATTCAAACCACATGGTTGCTCATGTGGGATCCAGCACCCTTATCCCCAGGCCAGGCTAGCTTATAACATAATCTTCAAGATTTTTTTTATTCTGTAGTGCACCTATATTTGCCAGAGAGATAAGAAATCATCCCTAGGGTGGAGAGCCATGCCTCAGTCCCTTCTCTTACATTTTCTCGGGATTTTGGGCACCTATGCACACCCTCCTGGTGTGAATTTCAAGTTGCCGGGTCCAAGATTTGAACTGCAATTGATCCTGTGGGAGTCCAGCGCCTTAACCACTATGCCACATGGTAGGCCCCCTGACATCTTTCTTCCTTTTTTTTTTTTTTAAGAGGTTTTTGCCTCAGGGCACATGTACTCACTAGAGAGAGACAGAGACAGTGAGAGGGAAAGTGAGAAATCACCCCCCTGGCATGTAGCTATGCCACAATCCTTTCTCCTCCATTCTCTTCCTGGCATCTTGGGCACACACACACCTGCGCCTGGTGTAATTTTCAAGTCTAGGACTCGAACTACAGTCAGCCATGTGGGAGTCCAACAATGTAACCACTATGCCATCTGCTGGCCCTGGCATGATCTTTCTTATTTGTACTTTCGCCATCACTCTTCCCTCTCAAAGAATGCTTTTTTTCCTACTGCCTAAGTTCTCACCCTTTTTCTGAATCCAGTGTAGATACGACCCTCCTCCAAAAGATATTTCTAGGACTTACAGACTTTTTTCGTACCTTTTTTCGAAATCATTTGATACTTAAAGCATTTATTACATTTTATACTGTGTTACATTTTCTCATTATCTTATTCTGTTTCTTGTGTGTGTGTGTGTTTGTTTGGGCTTATTTTGCTTTTTCTTTTTTTAACTGTTAGAGGGCACATATGTTCATGAGAAAGAGAGGGAGAAAGAGCACACCCCCGATGGGGCCTGGGTATGTTATTTTCCTACCTTTATCCTGTCAGGATTTGGGGCATACATACAAAGTGCTTGGATTGTCTTTCAAGCCGCTGGGGCCAAGATTTGAAATGTGGTTGGTCATGTGGGATCCAGCACAGGGCTTTTATTAAGGGCAACATTCCTGCCCCCAAATTTATTTTAACCTATTGCTAAGCACAGACTTCCATGCTGTGGAAGAGTCCATGCATGCATGAGCAACAGGTAGGGGTAGGAGGAGAGAGAAGCTCCCTTAACAGGGTCCCATTACACTGTCATCCCCTTCCCCAAGCCCTCCAGCTTGTCAGGATCTTAGGCACACAAGCATAGGCCAAGGTGCATTTTTAGAACAACCCGGGATCCAAACTTGTGTTAAACCATATGACTTCCAGTAGTATACTTCAGTTTGCTAGTGCCACATAGGCAAAAAATTTACTCATATATTTTAAAAGTATTACCCAAAAAAGAATTATATATAAAATTATCAGTTTTAAAATACAAAAATAATTTTGTTGCTTAGAGTTACAAAGATTTAGAAAACTGATAGCACCCGTTGTTGGTGAGATAATGGGGAAATAATTACATTGTTGATAGCAATGAAATTTGGCACAACCTTTGGAAACCATATGTAATAACATGGGAATATGCTCAAATACCTTATAAAATAAAGAAGAGAATTAAAAAGCCATAAGTATAATACATTGAAAAAAAACATGAAGTAATAGCAAATGGTTAACATGGATTTTCTCTGTGTAGAATTGTAGAGAGTTGGCTGTATGTGTTACTTACTACAACAATGATTAAAAAATTATACTTAAGGGGGACCAGCAGGTAGTGTGGTGGTTAAGGCGCTGGACACTCCCACATGGCTGACCATAGTTCAAGTCCCGGACCTGGAGACTTGCTTTCTCACATTCCCTCTCTCTCTCTGTGTGCCTCTCTGGTCACATAAAAAATTAATGAACAAATAAAATAAAATAATTCTTTAAAAATTTACACTTAAAGACTATTGCTTTCATAAGACAATTTTTATAATTTTTTTACAGGGGATTACATGCTGGATGCAAAGCCAAAAGAAATTTCAGAAATTCAACGTTTAAATTATGAACAGGTAATAAACACAATTTTTGTTATATTAAAATATTTAATTTTTGAGTTATGAATAGATATATATGGGTATCTATCAGTGGCCAGCAAACTTTTTCTGTAAAGGATTAGATAGTAAATATATATTTATATAGTTTACTGACCATATGTGGTCAGGCTCTGTTGCATGGTGGTTGAGGTGCTGGACTCTCCCACATGGCTGACTGCTGTTTGAATCCCAGACCTGGCGGCTTGCTTTCTCAATTTCCCTCTCTCTGTTTCTCTGTTCAAGTAAAATAAGAATGATGATTGTGATAATTTAAATAAAATAATTTTTTGAGGGACCAGCAGTTAACATAATGGCTATGTCGCTGGACTCTCTTATGTAGTCCACCGCCATTCGAGTCCCGGAACCAGTGGCTTAAACTTATGCCAGGCGCATGTGCGTGCGTGCCCAAGATCCCGAGAGGAGAATGGAGGAGAAGGGATTGCGGCGTGGCCATCCCCCCTGGGGGGTGATTTCTCACTTTCTGTCTGTCTGTCTCTCTCTCTCACTCTGGTGAGTGCATGTGCCCTATAGCAAAAAACTCTCAAAAAAAAAAAAGTAAAATGAAAAAAATAATAATAATAATTTTTTGAAAAATGTGGAAACCGTTCTTAACTCACAGCCAGATTGGCCGACAGACCATACCTTTTGTATCACTATATTTTTGTTTGTTTTTGTTTTGTTTTTAATTTGCTATAGGGCACGTGTGCCATAGAAAGAGGGGAAGAGAGAAAGCACCCCCCCCCAGGGGAGATGGCCTTGTCACAGTCCCTTCTCCTCCATTCTTCTCTCAGGATTTTGAGTATACATGCATGTGCACCCAATGTGGTTTTCCAGTTACTGGGTTTGGGACTTGAACTATGCAGTTAGCCACATAAAACCCTGCCGCCTTAACCATTACACCACAGGCTGGCCCTGGATCCCTATTTTGTACACATGCTATACTGAATGATATCAAGATCTATGGGCCTTAGTAGGATGATAACCTGGAATTTTTCCTGAAGATTTTCTTTCAAGTGAATTTGTCATTGATTCATCTTTTCTCATTTTAGTTATATTTTACAATTGAATTATGTTAAATAATTTTGAGAGTTTTTTGCTATAGGGTGTGTGCATTTGCCAGAAAGATGGAGAGAGACAGAAAGCAAGAAATCATCCCCTGGGGAGTGGCCATGCTGCAATCCCTTCTCCATTCTCCTCTCGGGATCTTGGGCACGCACACACACGCGCCCAGCGTGAGTTTAAGCCACAGGGTCCAGGACTGGGGTCGGCCTCACCCACCACTCCATGTGTTGGCCTCTATAATTTCTTATTGAAATCAGTCATGCTATTTTGATTAATACCAAAACTTAAAAATTAGAGATTATGGAGCCAGCTAGTGGTTATGGTGGCTAGATTCCACATGGCCAACTGTGTAGTTATAGTCCTGGAGCTTGTGGCTTGAAAAACACACAAAAGTACATGCACATTGGGAACCAGCAGTTAGCGTAATGGCTATGTCGCTGGATTCCCACATAGTCGACCGCAGTTCGTGTCCCGGACCCGGTGGCTTAAAACTCACGCTGGGCGCGTGTGCGTGCGTGCCCAAGATCCCGAGAGGAGAATGGAGGAGAAGGGATTGCGGCGTGACCGTCCCCCCTGGGGGGTGATTTCTCGCTTTCTGTCTCTATGTCTCTCTCTGTCTGTCTGGCGAGCGCACGCGCCCTACAGTGAAAATCTCTCAAAAAAAAAAGTACATGCACATTGATGCCGAGACATAGAGGAGAAGGGATTGCAGCATGACCATCTCCCATTGGGGAGCACACAATTAAAAAAACTGGCAATTAAAAACCTCAGAGGTTATGGATGATGTTTGCAGTCTCTTATCAACCTCGGAATTCGTTTTTCTTCTGTCGCAGTCCAGTCCTGAGAAAATTTTGATTGACAAGTGTTTGCTGATATCTTCATTTGGCTCATTTATTTCAAGTGTGTCTTGCAGTCCCAGAATACACTTCCGTTATGCTGATTTAGACTCTTGAAGAGTGAACGGAAATAAATTGTGTTTCAAAGTTGAGACAAATAATATCTAACAACTGCTTGCATTTCTTGCAAATATGTCAGGCCATAAGTACTCTGCATTTAATTTAAAATTTAAAACTATTTTCCAGTTGTTATTATTAACATTACCAGTAATTTTGAGAACAGACTGTACCAAACTAATATGGCCTGGTATAGGGTAGTGTTTAATGTTCTACAGCCATGGTTTACTATTATTATTATTGTTGTTATTATTTAATTTCCAGAGGGATTGTGTGCAGGTATGCTTGCCAGAGAGATGCAGAGAAAGACAGCGAGATCACCTCCCATTGAGATGTGGTCATGTTGCAATTTTTTTCTTCATCCATTTAGGATCCTGGGCAGGTTCACACACACCGATGTGTATTTCAAGCCAGTAGGGCCAGGATTCAGACTTTGGTCAGCTATGTAGAATCTGGCTTCTCTGCACAGCGTCTAACTACTGTGTTTCAGGGCCATCTGTGTGACAGCTTTTTTTTGTTTTTTGCTTTCCTTTTTTTTGTTTTTAATTGACAGAAATTATATGCACTTACCATAGAGAGACAGAGAGAGAGAGAGACAAAACACCATCCCCACCACCACAGTGGGATGTGATCACATCACAGTCCCTCCCTTCTCTTCCATTTCTTTCTTTCTTCTTCTTCTTTTTTTTTAAAGAATTATTTACTGGGACCAGCAGATGGCATAGGTTACATACTGAACTCTCACATTGCTGACTGCAGTTCAAATCCCAGACCTGGAGGCTTGAAATTCACACTGGGTGGGTGTACATGCGTGCTCAAAATCCCAAGTGCAGAATGGAGGAGAAGGGATTGTGGCATGGTCATCCCCCCCCGGGGCGGGTGTGATTTCTCGCTTTCTATGTCTCTGTCTCTCCAGTGAGTACACATACCCTAAGACAGAAATCACTCTTAAAAAATGTATATATTTATTTTAAAATTTGCTATAGAACATGTGTGCTCACTAAAGAGAGAGACAGAGAGAGAGAAAGACAGAAGCAAGAAAGCAAGCCACCAGATCTGGGACTTGAACTATGGTCGGCCATGTGGAAGTCCAGAGTCTCAACCACCATGCCACCTGCCAGCTCCTCTCTTCCATTTCTTGTCAGGAGTTTGGGCGCGCGTGCGTGCGCACACACACACAACACACACACACCCCTAGCATATTTTTAAAGCTGCCAGGGTTGTACTCCTATTCCAGTAATTACTAGGCTACAGAACCAACTCTGTGACAGGTTTTCTTTCTTTCTTTTTTTTTTCCTTAATTTTTTTTTCAGAGGGTGCATGTACATGCCAGAAAGAGACAGAGAGAGAGAAGGAAGGTGAGAAAACATGTCCCATGGGAGGGTGGTCACACCGCAATCCCTTCTCCATTTCTCTCTCCTTTTGGGATTTTGGGCATGCATACACACATGTCTGGTGTGTTTTTCAAACAAATCCAGGACTCAAACCACATGGCACAGCTGGCCCTGTGGGATCCAGCCATTTAACTATACTATTGGCTGATCCTGTGATGGGTTTTCAAAAGTATATTTACATGTAAATATATTTTTTAAAATATATTTACATGTAAATATATTTTTAGAATGTATTTTGTAATTAAATTTAAAATATTTCACTGTGTTAGAAATATCTTTGGAAAGAGTTCTAAGAAATAGCTTAACTGTGGACCAGCAGGTGGCATGGTGGTTAAGGCGCTGGACACTCCCACATTGCCAAACACAGTTTGAGTCCCGAACCTGGTGGCTTGCTTTCACACTTTCTTTCTCTCTCTCGTTCTTTCTCTGTCTCTCTCTGGTCAAATTAAAATGAATGAGTGAATAAATAAAGTTAGATAATTCTTTTTAAAAAATAGAACTAGCTTAACTGATGCTTTAAAGAATCCAATGATTTCTCTCTCCTTTTGGGATTTTGGGCATGCATACACACATGTCTGGTGTGTTTTTCAAACAAATCCAGGACTCAAACCACATGGCACAGCTGGCCCTGTGGGATCCAGCCATTTAACTATACTATTGGCTGATCCTGTGATGGGTTTTCAAAAGTATATTTACATGTAAATATATTTTTTAAAATATATTTACATGTAAATATATTTTTAGAATGTATTTTGTAATTAAATTTAAAATATTTCACTGTGTTAGAAATATCTTTGGAAAGAGTTCTAAGAAATAGCTTAACTGTGGACCAGCAGGTGGCATGGTGGTTAAGGCGCTGGACACTCCCACATTGCCAAACACAGTTTGAGTCCCGAACCTGGTGGCTTGCTTTCACACTTTCTTTCTCTCTCTCGTTCTTTCTCTGTCTCTCTCTGGTCAAATTAAAATGAATGAGTGAATAAATAAAGTTAGATAATTCTTTTTAAAAAATAGAACTAGCTTAACTGATGCTTTAAAGAATCCAATGGTGGGACCAGCAGAAGTCATAGTGACTACATCACTGGATTCCCATGTAGTTGACCGTGGTTCGAGTCCCAGACCTGGTGGCTTAAACTCATGCCAGGCATGTGTGCGTGCATGCCCAAGATCCAAGAGGAGAATGGAGGAGAAGGGATTACAGCATGACCATCCTCCTTAGGGGATGATTTCTCACTTTCTGTCTCTCTGTCTTTTCTGGCAAACACACGTGCACTATAGCACTATAGTAAAAACTTCCCCCCCACAAAAAAAGAAAAGAATCCTATGGTGGGGTGGCAGGTGGCATGGTGGTTAAGGGCGTGGACTCCCACATGGCCAACCATGGTTCAAGCGCTGTACCTGATGGCTTGCTTTCTTGCTTTCTCTTATTCTGTCCTTCTCTGGTCAAATTAAAATAAATAGTTAAATAAAAAAATTCTTTAAAAAAAAAAATCCAATGGTATCTTTCCTTTTCTTTTTTTTTTTTTTTGGAGAGGTTTTTGCTATAGGGCGCGTGCGCTCGCCAGAC